GAGGATTCGACGGGTAATGGATATAAATAGATTTTTCATTGCCTATGAAATGCTCATAATGGGTTGCACATTTCCGACAAATACTCATCATTGATTGCACATTTGTTTGTTAGAGGATGGGCAAATTGTTCTGTTGTCTTTCAAAAGAATATACCATCCTTGTGTGAAGGTTACATATTTAGCTTGCAATAAAAATCGATTTGTTTGAGGGTAACACTTTCGTTTTATGGTGCCGTGAAATAGTAATGCCATTTTTCAAGCAACAATAATACATACAAGTAGAATTGTAAAGGAGTGATCTTAGTTCTCGACCATAATGTAAGGGAACCTTAAACAAATTTTCAGGTGGCAAGGGGTCTCTTCATTATTTGTTTCGATATCAAATCACCTGTAAAAGAAGAGAAATGCCATCGGTAAACGGGTCACTTTTTCTCAATTTCTGGCAATAACCCCTTTCAGAAATAACGAGGAAGACAAACATCACCTTTGTTGTAAAAATGAAAGAGAAAAAAGCCCCATTAAGGGTACAACAAGTATTAGGGTTAACATGAATGTACAGACAAGTTTTGTTCATACATGTATAAAAGGCTATATGGTACTCGAGTGTATGATATCTTGCTTCATTCCTGATGTAAAAATTGGACCATGACTACTACCTAAAATCACGTATGCCAACTACTATTATTCATAACCTCCAACAGTTTGCTGCATTCCCATACCATTACCCATACAATTAGCCATTTTTAACTGTAAAAGCACATGTAGAAGGATAATGAAGATATGAAATTTGGAACATCTCATAGCGAGTATGGATTCCACAGCTGTCTGGAATAACTGGAAGGTAAATGGTTCTGTTTAACTCGTATAAGAAATACATCCTGTCGTTTTGACACCGGGGTTAATACATACAGCTTCACAATTGTTTATCGATAAAGGTTAATTTTTAACAATTCCCAACAGATAAATCACTGATGGTTCTCAATCCCTTAAACGGTTTTTAAAGAAAAAAAGGAGATCGTTGGTGCACGATAGAGCTACGCAATCGCATCTAAAAGTCAGATGATATTGGCATAGGATCAAGTGTCTGAGAAGTGTCTTATTTCCCAAGCTTTTGACTTTGGATTTGGGATTCTGAGCAGATTATGTGATAGTAATATACATCTCTTTTAGAATCCATGCTGAGGGCCATATACGTAAATGGAGGGCCGCAATAACTTAGTATAAATCAGACGTTTTCCTACAGTGCATAAAGGTGGTTCTGCCAGGAAAAAAAGAATGGCATTTTGATTCTTTACTGAAATTAGGGACAGCAAATTGGGTGAAAATCAACTGATTGTTTTTGATTTACGGTTACTATGTGGGTGTTTTCCCTGGCAAAATAAACCGTTTCAGCACCAGAAGATACAAAAGTCATTTACAAACCGCTAAAATTGGATGCCAGGCATTTCCCAGTGGAGAAAGAACCAAACTGGACTGATTGGGAGGTGCACGTGTTTCTCAGTTCAAAAAAGTTCCTCGCCGCTCTCCATGATAATTATATTGCCCTGTTGCATCGAAAAGTATTTTAAGTACTTTGGATAGCTACATGGAATGTAGTAGATAGATTGAAACGTTATCAATAAGGGACTGATATAAAGAAAAGAAAACGCTGTTTTACTCGCGTATATAAGAATACAATTGACTGGCAGGCAGTGCAGTTTATTAGCTCCATTGAAACAGAGGTTCCAATCTGAGTTATGATGACCCGAGGTTACAGTTTTCAATATACAGGAATGGGGTTAATTGAAAAGAACCGCTCAAAACAGGCAGCAGTGGGTCACAAATCTGAATAAATCACTGCGAGATAGATTGTAGTGAATAGTGACGACAAATACGTTATATTGTGTCTGCATAACTTTCATTATGATTTAGTAAATAGAATATTTTATCTAAATATATAGATAAGATGAACACCATTGGGACAGTTGGCGAATACCTCGCACAGGATTTTTAAATCAAATTTTCATATAATTAGTCAGAGTGCCTGCTTGGGTGACGGAATTGGAAAATCAAGCCCCTGCAGAAAAAGCGTACCCCAGTGATTGGATATATTCCCTGCAAATGCACGTAGAACTTCCCCTAACAGCCAGACGTACATGTCTGCCAAAGTGGGTGCCGTTTCGAGCATTTTCAAGAATTCAATCTCTCGCCAAGCGAGTCTTGTTTTTACTGCAAATTCTTGTTAAATAAACAACCCGTGTACAACGAAATTCAATTAACAAATTGAAATTCCTGAAAGCAACTGGATGAAAATGAACCCTTCCTGTTTTTGTCAGAGATAAAATCGATTTCTAATTTAACTTCTATACAAAGCAGTAACGACTGATTCCTGGTAAAGCACCTGTGTAGAGAGATTGGTGTAAGCTCAGATTAACATGTTTTGTTAAGTTTTCAAGTAAAATAGGTAGACCAGATTCAGGATCGCTAGCGTGTAAAGTATATTAAAAATAATAATAGAGAATTATAAATTAAAATTCAAAGACACGTTTCCTTACAGTCGACTGTATGCGAGAGTCTCTCGTACACTACAATCATTTTGTTAATTGACTGTATAGTCTGATGACTTTATATACAATCCGCCTGACGTCACTAGGACATTGACCGCTCATGATATCGAAATCATGAGTATCGAAAGCAGTCCACTTTACTTCTATTACACGGAGATTTGATAAAATTGCTAGATTGTTCATAATTATAATTACGGTGTCAGTATCCGCCAGACGTGTCATGGCGTTTACGCCCAATCAACAGGACGGGTACCAAATTCGTTTGGCTTGAAAAGGTTAAGCTAACTAAAGCTTAAATCTGATGATATAACGGAGCGCCTAACCCTTACCCTAATAAAACACCAAAAGATCTGTGATCCTATACATAAGTCTTACCATTGGAATACTAAAAGTCGTATTAGGTGCTCCTTTACACGTGTTTCAGGAATGTTACACGTGTTCGTGTTACACATTTTGGTATACATCTGGTATATGTAGTATCAGATTATATGCAGCTTGACGAACATGTGTTCAACATAAAAAAACAACAAAAAACAAACAGCGTTCTCGTCATTTATCACAAGAGCGAGTGAGACAACCAAAACGTCTGGGCATTGATCGATTGGCACTACAATACTTCCATAGGCCAGCCTTGAACTGGCTCAGGTGAGAAATCCCCCCGAATTGTTTTTGCTGGCAGTAGACATTTACTCTCTCTTGGCCTCGCGAGTGCTCCTGATTGAGCTGAGGCACAGTGAGCATAGTGACTGGTGCATCCCCGCTGGCAACACACACTACAGCACTCACCTTCCGATCCCATCAGGTGCGCCGTGCCATCTTCAATTAGTGAAACAAGGGGCGCAGTGTACAGCGCATTAACAAGTTTTATGCACAAGTAAACAGCATTTCATCGCAGGTGAATTGTAAGATATACACACCAGTGGTACAATTGATGTACTGTTTTACCTGCACTATAAAAACATCGAAGCACAGATTTGAAGTGTACTTTCTCAATTTTTTTAAACAAAGGAACCTGGATGCGACCGGAAGCTACACGCTGGCTTTCCCGACCTGTGTCACCACACCTGCCGTGTACCATGTCCAGGAAGGAAAGGTAGCCGTGGTATGACACATCATGACAGCTGCGAAGTAAGTACATGAAAGTGGTGGGCGCCACAGTGGGCGTTACGCAAATTGACTACTTTTGTTTCCAATTGTTTTCTATTTGAAGCACAAATCAAATCTGAATCGTGTAAAAGGAGTTAGCTGTGAGTCCCTACTACGCATACAAATTTTCCTATAGCCACAAATGCATCGATAGGTGGGTCTAAACAGCAGAAGCAAATGCGACAAACATGAGTCCAAATGCATTGTTCATTTTTGTTTATTTTAAAAGAATCAAACGAGTACATTTTGCCTAGAAATTCTGACTGGTAGATTCCCTATTTTGATATGAGTAATGATAACGCAGGGTATAAGGGGGAAGAATGCATTTGGTATTGGAATTAAAATAAATATTGATCTTTGGGCTTCTTTAAACTGGATGGGCTTTATTCAGAAAATACTTCGTCAGAGCACTTCATTAAGCGTATTGGCGTTATCATTCCCTGCAGGCCTTATAAATTAAAACCAAAAACCAATTAAGCGCATAAAATTAGTTATGCTATATAATTGGCTTCTTCGAACCATATCGCTGTCATTTGGAAAGGATATTGGACACTCACTCACGACATTTTAATAATACATCCAATAAAGTATACTTTAGGAAGTGTCCCTATATGACCTTAACAGTTAGACGACACACAAAAGCAATGTCCTTTTTACAAGTATTACATTTATGGGAATAAAGCATTTATCTATTTGAGGTAACAGGCGGTAAAATAACGTTAGGATAGGGGTGAGACGCTCGCATCTTTGACTTAGATAACAGTACTGGGAACGAAAGGGCCGCGCGTTTCTCGGGTCCTCACCCCATCGGACTGAGTTAGTTACAGTAGAAGCTGCGGAAAGGATACGTCTTTTCACTTTAATGCAATTCATTATCGTGGAAATTGATGCAACCCAAATGGTACAAATGTAATGGTTTAAACTAGAACCATTTGTCTTGTGCGATGCTATATCTTCCACTTGNGATAAATAAATTTATGTCTATATAAAAAGCCACAATAGGATAAAGTAACTGTAGTATTCTCTAGCTCTCTCTCTCTCTCTCTCTCTCTCTCTCTCTCTCTCTCTGTGTGTTTTCTAACGAATATATACTATTATATAGGATAGATATATGACCTTTACGCGACTCCTATCTAAACAAACCTGTTCACTGTATGAAACCTGACGAAAAACTTCTAAAAGTCGTCTTTACTATCTTAAAGACTTTTCCTGGAAAACAAACACAATTATCTTTTTGTTTTATTTTTATAAGTTAAATGATGCACTAATCTAATAATAATGGACACAATACAGAGAATGGCTGCAATCTTACCTCTGGTTCGCTGAAACGTTGACGAATCCCCTGAAGGATACCGTGGCTCTGTTGGCACAGTCTTTATTACCGAAGTAACACGAGTTTTCGAGCACCATGATTCTCAACAACCTTTCAAAGACAATTTCTAGGAATTAATCCGATAATTGATTAATACGTGTATTACTGGTATGCAAAAGGTACGTCCAGAAATATTACGATGAATAGTAGCTACTGTGTCAGCAATGCTTCATTTATAAAAAAAAATACATGTTGTTTTTGGCAGGTTCCATGTTAATTCACCATATAGATCTTGATAAAAATAGAAGTATATATTGATGCACCTTGAAAGATCTACATTATAGTTGTTAAATTAAGATATAAGCATATTTAACAACTATAATGTAGATCTTTCAAGGTGCATCAATATATATACTTCAGTTTTTGGCAGGTTCAACGCATGTGTTAAATGAAATGACAATTGCAATCGTAAAAAAATTACCTTATTGGGTATTCACCAATATCTTTCCATTCCAGTTCATTGTAAAATGGCAATAGGAGACCGTGGATATATTTCTGAAATAGGTAAAACGGACATGGCATTTTATGAATCACAACTGATATACAAATGCCAAATGTTGCTGTTCTTAGTTTTTTAACAGTATTCAGCTTTTGAAGGTGAGAGACTTTGGTAATTATAAGATGTAAGACTTTTCACTTCCACCTGAGTACCAGAAAAGATTGGGTACGGTTCTTATCTTTGGCTTCACTACTGTACATCTATTCATATTATGTTCTCTAGTGCAACACAAAAAATCTGGCTGCATATTGGTATGTGTACGTTAACATGGGATTCAACATAAGTGCAAGCAAAACTGGATTGAAAACAAATAAAGAACAACATTAATTAAATAAATAAATAAATAAATAAGTAAGTAAATAAATAAATATACCCGGAATTCCACATAAAATGCAGTTCGTGCGAGGATTTTGTCTATTAAACGAAATATCTTCATGGCCGTCTGCCATGGTCCCAACTCTCGTTCCCGCGAGAGGTACTCGGTGAGTCTTAATGCAGTGGTAGCAGGTAGCATCCCAGATCTGAAACGGTGTATATTGTGTTCAACTGGATAGCCTTGATAAAGATTACTAATCTTATAATGCAATTTGAGGAGAAATGATGCCTGAAGGTGTTATAATAACAGAGATGTAGTTAAAACGCTTATGAAATATTCAGTGAATATATATTACAATTTTCTTCCAATCACACTCATTACAGCAGTTACAGTATATCCCCTGTCGTTAATCTATCCCGATACTTTACACGCAGCAGCTGGTTTAAAAAGTTTTTAAAATGATTTAACTGCCTTTACCTGGCAAGGTTAAATGCATCGTCTATTAGTTGAGCGCGAATTTCCGGGGCGATAACCTATGAACCAAGAGAAAGGTCAAGTTCTTTAAAACAAGATTATCAAACACAGAGCAACAATGACATTTGCGAATTACCTGGGCTAAACTCAGCTTTATCATCAATGTCTCTGAGAGAATTTCTCTGAGAGAAAAACTGTCTCAAAAAACCTATAAGAACGACATATATATATACTGTAATCTTTAAAAAATCCAGGTCCCAGTTATGAGGAGATAAGCAAGGCCACATATACTAACCGTGTGGTTTCTATTCAGTAAATCGATAATAAGCTCCCAGTTCCTGGAATCATAGTTGACTCTATAGAAACCAGGTTCCCCTACATTTCCCAGCAGCAAGGAATCTTTTACCAACGGAATCCCGGTGATTTCCACTGCAATGGAAAACAGAGGCATATGTACATGTATAAAGATAAAGAGTACATTATACTTAGGCCTACAGTAATACTTCTTTCTGTCTACAAAATTCGGTAGCCAAGAGTTGAATGCCCGTAATATTTTTATGAAGCAGAAGACAGTAGGGAGGAAGTGATCCTCTTTAGATTAAGCAGGTAGATTGATACTTACCGAAGTTCATATAAACAGTATATACGGAAAGGTGGTTCAGTTGATATGTTAACTACTGTGATATGTGTGTGTGTGTGTGTGTCGGGGAAGGGGGCAATGCCCAACAGCAATTACGCAATAGTAATTGTCTTACGTCAACAATTCTTATTGATTTGAACCTTTCCCCAACTCTTTGTGGCATATGATGCGTCTTAATCATTGAAAAAGAGGAAAAATTCGACACAAAAATAGCAAAATTCTAGAGAATCGACGCTTAATTGTTCTATACGGATAATTAACGAGCGCGAGCCTACAGTCCGTGACCAAGGCAGCAACGGGCACATTGATCAAGGAACCGACACAGGAACTCCTTTTGTTAAAGTGTCTTGTCATATAAACTGATCCGTTATTCTGTCAAACTAATGTAGTATTTCTATGGGTGCGTTTACAATGCAACTATTGTACTAAATGTAGGAAGTTCCAATTAACTCCGCGGGGACTCTTGCTGAATGCAATCAGATTATTAGATTTTTTTACTTGTCTTGCTACTTAAAATAATGGTCTTTTATCAATGCTGTAAAAGAGATAATTTCTGCATTTTTCTTCCTTGAACAGAATTGCATTGTATCGTAGCATATATTTTACCAAAGTAGGTACAATTTTAAATGAAAAAACATCAGCAGGAAATGATATTTCGGTCAAATCACATTACTTTTTCACAAATCACTGTGTTGAATAAGGCGGCAGCTGAAATGTATCTAATAGAGAAGCAGCTAATGTTCATAGTCGGCACCGAATAAACTTGTTACTTAAAAAATACCGTCTCACATTTGCATTTGCTACTGTACCCAAGCTGACGTCAATCTAAAATCTTTGCAACTAGCGGCTATAATGTACCAAAGCAATTCACTTGCTTTGAGATAGTATCGAAACCAGTTCCACGACCAAGCATTTCACCTTTTCAAAACAGATAAAAGATAACAAGCTCTTGAGGTAAGATGCAACACGCAAACAGGTGACATTCACTTAACTATCTCATTAAAAACAAGATACAGAATTATTGTTGTTTTTTCCTGGAGTTAATAACACCTTCGTCGTAGTGGCGTACCACCTGGGCGACCGCAGCTGGAGAAAACATCAAAGAAAAGTAGCAGCCGCACTAGTAGAACTTGAACTGCCGCTAATTGGAAGCAATTCATCATTGCCAAGCCAGGCGAAAGCTCGAATTTGAATTAAATTTTGTGGCATTCATGTTAGTTTGGACAGGCATGTAGTATCACTGTTAGGTAACGTAATGTTGGCACAAAGCTACCTAGACAAGGGGAAATATGAATCCAGATCACAAAAGCTAGAACGTGCTTAAGTCCGTGTCGTGAAATGGTTTCGCGCAAAAAACGTATATCTGCAAGTAAATGACATTATCCAAATAGATAACAGTAATGGGCAGTTACCCCGTCATCCATCGTGAACACAACATCCTCGGCTGAAGTCAATACTGGCAAAAACAAATTTTTTCACCGGAGATTACATCGGTATTAAAAAGCGAAACCAGTACGAGTTTTTTCTCTTTGAGGGGAATATATATAAAACGCATTCGATAGAACATGCTACAATACGTGTTCAGAGCTTCTTGTATTCTGTTAACAGGACGGTTTTTTCAAATATTTGCATTTTGAAACTATAAAGATCTAAATAGCCAGTTAAGTTTCCCGAAATTATATCTAACACGAATTATAAAATAAATTAATGCTAGTTTATCATTATTGGAAACATTTGTCAGATATGCACAATGGAACCATGTACTTTTTTTATTACATAAACTATCGATGGATTTTACATAAACGCTCAGTGTTCACCATTAGTTTAAATATGTTCATTGCCGATAAACTTCCCCCCAAAGAAAGCTACACGTACGTGCACCAATGTATGTAGCAGGACACACGCTGGTATATATGTAAAAAGAAGAGCATCACGGCTCCGTAATTTACTGTGCTTTCATGTGGGTTGGGCTCAACCCATTCTTGAACCATATTTCTCTGTGTTCCCTTAATGTTTTATAAGACCAGCAGGCATATTGTTGATTATTGTTCAATTATACACGAAACCCGAATTCCGGCATTCATATTACGAAACAGTGGTGTGTACCTCAGTAAACTTAATATATGTGACTAATAAGACCCGTTCCTTATAATATAAAATGGGGCACCTGTTAACTGGATGTTTATATCCTTTTCCCCCCGCTCTTGTGATTCTATTACTGCACTATAGTGAAAAGAAAAAAAAAATTCCTGGCAGAGCCTTTTTTCCGAACACGTCAAAGTGCCAGTGATTTATTTATTATATCAAAATCAGATAACTGTCGCCTTATAGAACAAATTACCCACAATAAAACAAGATCCAATTCATCAGAGTTGCCAATGCTTGAAGTTCGTGTCTGAAAGAGCAGTAATAACTCAATCTAATCCCTTATTTTCGAAAGGTTGTCACGTCAATTATTGAGTACGGCACGTGTCGAAATGGGCACATACACTGCATCCAATGAGGATTCGACGGGTAATGGATATAAATAGATTTTTCATTGCCTATGAAATGCTCATAATGGGTTGCACATTTCCGACAAATACTCATCATTGATTGCACATTTGTTTGTTAGAGGATGGGCAAATTGTTCTGTTGTCTTTCAAAAGAATATACCATCCTTGTGTGAAGGTTACATATTTAGCTTGCAATAAAAATCGATTTGTTTGAGGGTAACACTTTCGTTTTATGGTGCCGTGAAATAGTAATGCCATTTTTCAAGCAACAATAATACATACAAGTAGAATTGTAAAGGAGTGATCTTAGTTCTCGACCATAATGTAAGGGAACCTTAAACAAATTTTCAGGTGGCAAGGGGTCTCTTCATTATTTGTTTCGATATCAAATCATCTGTAAAAGAAAAGAAATGTCATCGGTAAACGGGTCACTTTTTCTCAATTTCTGGCAATAACCCCTTTCAGAAATAACGAGGAATACAAACATCACCTTTGTTGTAAAAAATGAAAGAGAAAAAAAGCCCCATTAAGGGTACAACAAGTATTAGGGTTAACGTGAATGTGCAGACAAGTTTTGTTCATACATGTATAAAAGGCTATATGGTACTCGAGTGTATGATATCTTCCTTCATTCTTGATGTAAAAATTGGACCATGCCTACTACCTAAAATCACGTATGCCAACTACTATTATTCATAACCTCCAACAGTTTACTGCATTCCCATAACATTACCCATACAATTAGCCATTTTTAACTGTAAAAGCACATGTAGAAGGATAATGAAGATATGAAATTTGGAACATCTCATAGCGAGTATGGATTCCACAGCTGTCTGGAATAACTGGAAGGTAAATGGTTCTGTTTAACTCGTATAAGAAATACATCCTGTCGTTTTGACACCGGGGTTAATACATACAGCTTCACAATTGTTTATCGATAAAGGTTAATTTTTAACAATTCCCAACAGATAAATCACTGATGGTTCTCAATCCCTTAAACGGTTTTTAAAGAAAAAAAGGAGATCGTTGGTGCACGATAGAGCTACGCAATCGCATCTAAAAGTCAGATGATATTGGCATAGGATCAAGTGTCTGAGAAGTGTCTTATTTCCCAAGCTTTTGACTTTGGATTTGGGATTCTGAGCAGATTATGTGATAGTAATATACATCTCTTTTAGAATCCATGCTGAGGGCCATATACATGTACGTAAATGGAGGGCCGCAATAACTTAGTATAAATCAGACGTTTTCCTACAGTGCATAAAGGTGGTTCTGCCAGGAAAAAAAGAATGGCATTTTGATGCTTTACTGAAATTAGAGACAGCAAATTGGGTGAAAATCAACTGATTGTTTTTGATTTACGGTTACTATGTGGGTGTTTTCCCTGGCAAAATAAACCGTTTCAGCACCAGAAGATACAAAAGTCATTTACAAACCGCTAAAATTGGATGCCAGGCATTTCCCAGTGGAGAAAGAACCAAACTGGACTGATTGGGAGGTGCACGTGTTTCTCAGTTCAAAAAAGTTCCTCGCCGCTCTCCATGATAATTATATTGCCCTGTTGCATCGAAAAGTAGTTTAAGTACTTTGGCTAGCTACATGGTATGTAGTAGATAGATTGAAACTTTATCGATAAGGGATTTATATACAGAAAAGAAAACGCTGTTTTACTCGCGTATATAAGAATACAATTGACTGGCAGGCAGTGCAGTTTATTAGCTCCATTGAAACAGAGGTTCCAATCTGAGTTATGATGACCCGAGGTTACAGTTTTCAATATACAGGAATGGGGTTAATTGAAAAGAACCGCTCATAACAGGCAGCAGTGGGTCACAAATCTGAATAAATCACTGCGAGATAGATTGTAGTGAATAGTGACGACAAATACGTTATATTGTGTGTGCATAACTTTCATTATGGTTTAGTACATAGAATATTGTATCTAAATAGATAAGATGAACACCACTGGGACAGTTGGCGAATACCTCGCACAAGATTTTTAAATCAAATTTTCATATAATTAGTCAGAGTGCCTGCTTGGGTGACGGAATTGGAAAATCAAGCCCTGCAGAAAAAACGTACTCCAGTGATTGGATATATTCCCTGCAAATGCACGTAGTACTTCCCCTAATAGCCAGACGTACATGTCTGCCAAAGTGGGTGCCGTTTCGAGCATTTTCAAGAATTCAATCTCTCGCCAAGCGAGTCTTGTTTTTACTGCAAATTCTTGTTAAATAAACAACCCGTGTACAACGAAATTCAATTAACAAATTGAAATTCCTGAAAGCAACTGGATGAAAATGAACCCTTCCTGTTTGTGTCAGAGATAAAATCGATTTCTAATTTAACTTCTATACAAAGCAGTAACGACTGATTCCTGGTAAAGCACCTGTGTAGAGAGATTGATGTAAGCTCAGATTAACATGTTTTGTTAAGTTTTCAAGTAAAATAGGTAGACCAGATTCAGGATCGCTAGCGTGTAAAGTATATTAAAAATAATAATAGAGAATTATAAATTAAAATTCAAAGACACGTTTCCTTACAGTCGACTGTATGCAAGAGTCTCTCGTACACTACAATCATTTTGTTAATTGACTGTATAGTCTGATGACTTTATATACAATCCGCCTGACGTCACTAGGAGATTGACCACTCATGATATCGAAATCATGATTATCGAAAGCAGTCCACTTTACTTCTATTACACGGAGATTTGATAAAATTGCTAGATTGTTCATAATTATAATTACGGTGTCAGTATCCGCCAGACGTGTCATGGCGTTTACGCCCAATCAACAGGACGGGTACCAAATTCGTTTGGCTTGAAAAGGTTAAGCTAACTAAAGCTTAAATCTGATGATATAACGGAGCGCCTAACCCTTACCCTAATAAAACACCAAAAGATCTGTGATCCTATACATAAGTCTTACCATTGGAATACTAAAAGTCGTATTAGGTGCTCCTTTACACGTGTTACAGGAATGTTACACGTGTTCGTGTTACACATTTTGGTATACATCTGGTATATGTAGTATCAGATTATATGCAGCTTGACGAACACGTGTTCAACATAAAAAACAACAAAAAACAAACAGTGTTCTCGTCATTTATCACAAGAGCGAGTGAGACAACCAAAACGTCTGGGCATTGATCGATTGGCACTACAATACTTCCATAGGCCAGCCTTGAACTGGCTCAGGTGAGAAATCCCCCGAATTGTTTTTGCTGGCAGTAGACATTTACTCTCTCTTGGCCTCTCTTGGCCTGATTGAGCTGAGGCACAGTGAGCATAGTGACTGGTGCATCCCCGCTGGCAACACACACTACAGCACTCACCTTCCGATCCCATCAGGTGCGCCGTGCCATCTTCAATTAGTGAAACAAGGGGTGCAGTGTACAGCGCATTAACAAGTTTTATGCACAAGTAAACAGCATTTCATCGCAGGTGAATTGTAAGATATACACACCAGTGGTACAATTGATGTACTGTTTTACCTGCGCTATAAAAACATCGAAGCACAGATTTGAAGTGTACTTTCTCAATTTTTTTAAACAAAGGAACCTGGATGCGACCGGAAGCTACACGCTGGCTTTCCCGACCTGTGTCACCACACCTGCCGTGTACCATGTCCAGGAAGGAGAGGTAGCCGTGGTATGACACATCATGACAGCTGCGAAGTAAGTACCTGAAAGTGGTGGGCGCCACAGTAGGCGTTGCGCAAATTGACTACTTTTGTTTCCAATTGTTTTCTATTTGAAGCACAAATCAAATCTGAATCGTGTAAAAGGAGTTTGCTGTGAGTCCCCACAAATGCATCGATAGGTGGGTCTAAATAGCAGAAGCAAATGCGACAAACATCTCTTTGTTTGCAAAATGCATCAAATGCATTGTTCATTTTTGAGCGATGCTCATTTTAAATAAATTAAACGGGTACACTTTGCCGAGAAATTCTGACTGGTAGATTCCCTATTTTGATATGAGTAATGATAACGCAGGGTATAAGGGGGAAGAATGCATTTGGTATTGGAATTAAAATAAATATTGATCTTTGGGCTTCTTTAAACTGGATGGGCTTTATTCAGAAAATACTTCGTCAGAGCACTTCATTAAGCGTATTGGCGTTATCATTCCCTGCAGGCCTTATAAATTAAAACCAAAAACCAATTAAGCGCATAAAATTAGTTATGCTATATAATTGGCTTCTTCGAACCAAAGCGCTGTCATTTGGAAAGGATATTGGACACTCACTCACGACATTTTAATAATACATCCAATTAAGTATACTTTAGGAAGTGTCCCTATATGACCTTAACAGTTAGACGACAAACAAAAGCAATGTCCTTTTTACAAGTATTACATTTATGGGAATAAAGCATTTATCTATTTGAGGTAACAGGCGGTAAAATAACGTTAGGATAGGGGTGAGACGCTCGCATCTTTGACTTAGATAACAGTACTGGGAACGAAAGGGCTGCGCGTTTCTCGGGTCCTCACCCCATCGGACTGAGTTAGTTACAGTAGAAGCTGCGGAAAGGATACGTCTTTTCACTTTAATGCAATTCATTATCGTGGAAATTGATGCAACCCAAATGGTACAAATGTAATGGTTTAAACTAGAACCATTTGTCTTGTGCGATGCTATATCTTCCACTAGGGATATTTAGACTAACTACAGACCGATAAACTAAATTAAGTAACGAATACCTTTCTACTGATTCATGGTATTAATTGGGTTGATTAAATCATTGGGTGTATACTTTTCTTTTTAATAGCACAATTAAGATTCTAAAGAATATGTTAATGAATTTTTTCATGGTTCAAATTTGGCTCATTAAGATGGTTATTAATTAAAACACGGCAATTTGAAAGTGAATTAAGCGCGACTGGTGCTTTGCGCAAATTTTGTGTTGAACCCCGTTGCAAAAAAAAAAAAAAAAGTATACACGTTTCTTCTCATTTTGCCGAATACAAAGAAGATCGCTCAAGTGCCTATAGCTGTCAACACTGAAATTGGACAGTATTCACACTTTGAACTAGAAAGACGGGATTTGTTCAACTAGTCATTGCCATTGACCGAAATACAGATAAAAGTGATCATCCAAAGTGCTTCTTTTCCGTCATATGTATCTGTGAATTAAGACGTTTTCTATTCTCAGAAGGAGTGGAGTCTGCACCTTACGTTGTTACGCCTCAATCCAATTCCAATCTGAATTCCCATGAAAGCAAAATCTATCCTGGAATGAAATTCTCCAAAAAGCGATAGCATAGTAAGTGTGCGATCAGAGAGTCGGGATATTGTACCATGCCCTAGAGGAGAGGAATCTATCTCTCGTGTTAACCCATTCAACAGCACCAGGAGACCTACCACTCCGTGCCAGATTCTGGAATAATACCATCCTCTTCAGCTTAATTTTTAAAGTGTTAAGTGAATGGAGGACCCTATGAAAAGGATATCGTCATTATACAGCATACAGAGAGGACAAACCAAAGAGTCTAAAATATCATAACAACAAAGCTGAGCTGGTATGTGGTACACGAATGAGTACAAGAAAGGGAAACTGGGCAGTTGTGCATTTGGATTTGTTTCAAATTTTGGTCCATGCTAATAGATATAGGCTCCACAGTACGTAGCGATACACACGTTGTCGCACCTGTTCTAAAATCGCAGTGCGATGTTTACCCTGAAACTTTCCATTTAGGCCAGAGAAAACACTTCACAATATACTGATTAATCAGATTTAGAGGGCTAAGGCCACTTAAAGGATATATTTTCCTAGAAATGACACAAATAAGGGTTTTTAGAAATGAAAACGAAGAACAGGTGGCCATTTTCGTACAATCGTACGTATGACAGGTGACTGTCACAGGAAAAAAAACGCCTGGAGAAGAAGATGAGCACTCACTGCGTCCAATCGCCAATTCAGTTATTATTCCAATAATCTTCAGGGCCAGTAGTACCACGGGAGTTGGGGAGAATTCTTGATGTCCTGACAACTTAATTTGGTGGACATTCGCGCCACATGATATTAACCCCAAAGTTAGTGGAACAGTTACTGTCCTGTAGCATTCACCATTCGTGATTTGGCTTAGCTCACGTACGGCTGAGATCATTCGGGGAAAAGTAAATATAAAAAAGCAAATTAATTGGAGCAACCATCGATTTTTCATTAAGATTTGATTCGGAGCCAGATTGGAGCTTCACGCTGCAGTTACCTTGGCGCCGGTTAAAGACGAGCATGAAGCTGTGCTTCGCTCGAGTGATTTACATAAATTAAAACATTGTGGATCGGGCTTGGCACGGAGCGTGGAAAACAAGGTGCAAGACATTGGAACGAAAAAGATAACAGACATTCTGTTCAGCTTCTGTGTGGTTTCAGAAATTGTGAACAGGCCTGTGTGCAGACCAAGCGAGAGGCACCGTTTACACAGTAGGAGCATCCACATGTTGGGTTTTTAGGTGTGATGATTCTGTTTTATGTGATCAACGATAAAAACTACGCCTATGGATTCTAGATCTGTAAGTTATGCCAAATAGCTCAAGGAGTCCCATTCCATAGAAAACCTGTTAAAATAGCAAAACTCAAACAGAAAGGTAAGCTTCCAAGTTAAAAACAGAATAAGATTTTGTAAAAACGCATAATAAACGATTAACAACCACCATATTGATGATTATTTGTAAGAATGGCAAAAATGGATAAAAAAAAAAGATAAAAAATAAAAGCAACGTTGTTTTTAAGGTCATTGCAGAGGAAGCCATATTTTATAGCAACGAGCACTGCGTCTGAATGTGTCGATTTCCAATTGAATTAACAAGTTATTCATTGAAAAAAGCTCACTGAAAAAGTTCACTTTTTTCACGTGCATCTGTGGAATCTTTCAGCAAATTAAGCTTATACTGGTTTAATTTATCTGCTTCAATGTTACGTCCTAATTAACTATGCTTGCTTTCAAAGGAAGCTTGCGATTCAATTTTCCAAATGGGGAATCAGAAAGGAGATTTACCCTTTAAATAACAATGTAATTTACCAATTTATATGAACCGTCACATGCTTCCGCCATTAAAACCTAATATTCCTGTGTTGGGTGCTTTTTACACTTTGTTTTATAGCCCGTTAAATGTGCTGACATGGAAAACCAACTAGTCATAATTTTTTTCTAAATTGACATTTAAAAATATTTTCAAAACGCCTTGTTTTTGAGAGTTTATGTCATCGACAGGAATTTCCTAACACTTATTACGCCTGTCTCCTCCCCCCTCTTGTGTTTTCCAAGAATTTACAACAAGTCTCATTAAGACAATTTCCTCTCTCAATACAACCTTACTTGGTCTAGTATTTCGTGGCATTTTGGAAAAATTAATAAATAGCTATAGAGATTTACACCACTAAGAGGCGTTGCCAAGCATTGGGATGTTATCTGCTCGACCACAGAGCCGACAAACCAAATTAAATACCACACCCATGATAAAATTATCCAACACGGCTTTAAATTATAATCAGTGTCGACGATCCAGTGTGTCATATTTATTGATCATGCCAAAGAAAAATTGCAACTCATTGACTAACCGTATATACCGTATTGAATCCAATGTTTTTTTTTTATTTCTATTCGTTTTACGTAAGAGCACGGGTGAAAAAAAGGCATATCATGTTGATCAAAATGAGGAGTGTAGTGTTTACCCAGACATTAACTGAAATGACTCTCTAACTCTTGTCAAACCACTTCATTATGCAGTTATTGGGGTTTGAAGGTAAAACGTAAAAAAAAAGAAAAAAAAAAACATGACAATACAGACGTTGGCGTGATAACATTTAGTAAAAGAGGTTGCTGAAATCCAAACAAATATAACATGTATTTGCAACGTTTTTGTTCCTATGTATATGACAACTATTCATGTGTATCCGGCCCGAAAAAAATTATATGTAACTTAATTTCAAAGTGAAAATTGTCGGTGGTTTTAAATTACTTAAAAAAATTAAAATGGCAAATTTATTTTGATTATTGATATCTATCAGTATTCTTATCCTTAAAATACGTAATCTTTTTAAACTTCGCCTCATAGGTTGCCATGTTTATTAAAAAAAATTATCGTTTAAACAAATAAAAAAGAATACGTCTTCACTAACAACGTGATTGCAAAACAACACAGTTTCGGTAGTTCGAATCGCACATTTAATCTGTACTAATAATAATTCAAATAAATCTAATACAGAGCGCCGATAAGCCATCTAGCCATTTGAGATGAACACGTCTAGCCATGAGATATTATGCCAGTGGTGCGCAACATTATGTACTGTACTCAATATGAAACAAAATGTTCAGTTGTAAAGTGTAACTGATATGATTGTAATATGATTGTCTACTTCAGGAGGCTCAAATGACAAACCATTGAATACCCCGTCATTAGCATTATATTCCATAATAATTTTAGTTTCAGAAAGGGATTTTTTTTTGCGCGGCCAACAGCAATATCTTGCCCTGTGAAGGACAGTTCGTCTTTTTTGTACGATAATATAAATTGTATGCTTTGATCTTCTGACCATGAATTCTCTCAGTTCTAGCATGGAAATGGAACCGACGGGCACCAACGTGACGGCCAACTACTGCCTTGCATATGGTTCTCCCTGTTGGTGCAACGCCATGTATTCCTTGACGTGCGTGGGATCAATAGGGAACATTCTGACAGGGGCCGTGATCCTGCAGACCCCAGAGCTTCGAAACAAACCCCTCTTCGTCTACTTGACGTGCCTGGCCACTGTTGACCAAATGATCTTAATACTGCTCTCTCTTGGGTGCCTGCCGTTTAGGGATTTCCACCCAGTGACACAGTGTGTGTTAAAAATCTCGATTTTATGGTTGAATGATATTATGAATTATGTCGAGATGGGGATAATATTCTTGTTGACGATAGAACGGTTCTTTTTGATCACCAATCCTCTGAGAATACGCCATCTCTGTACGCAGAGGAGGGCATTACGCAACGTCCTCGTGATAACCGTGGTGATAGCCATGTTGACGGCTGTTAGGATTTTCGCTATTGAGGAATGTCAAACGTTCTTCCCCGGCAATGTGCCCAAACTGAAAGTGATCATTTTCACAACCTACTGCAGCTTTCATAATTTGGTCTCCCTGAGCGTGCTGACCATCAGCATCTTAATCATTTACAAACTTCACCAACACAGAAACATCGAGCGGTCCATGAGGAGCACAGCCATAAAGCACCAGACGGACGTCCTCCTACTGGCGACCGCACTCATGTTTGTGCTGCTAAACTGGCCGTTACACGTCAATGACGTCATCATGGCGTATGAGTGGTTGTCGGCCAATGACGTAACGCTATCCAAAGACCCGGAAGTACGAGAAATTCTGTTCATAATCAGCAAAGTGAATAACTGTATTAATTTTTATATGTATACTTTGACGGGACATATGTTCCGAGACGGCCTGAAGCAGCTAATGCAGCGTGGGTCAAGTAAGGAGAGAAGGAAAAGCTCCCAGTACTATATTGGGCTTCGGATGGACATGTTAGAGGTAGAGCACTCAGCAAGTACACGTAGCACGAGTGGTTTGAGCTGCTGAAGTGCTCATCGAATAATAACTTTGCATGGCGATTACGGCATGATATATGGGATCATATTAGATACGTTCAAATAGTTATGACACTTATATCAAACAAACGTTGTCAAGTAGGCCCCTTTTGGGTAACTAGAGAAATATCAGATTTATGTATCATAAAATGATACAAACTCTCCGATATCATATACCGGTGAGTCCGTTTATAGGATACCTGTTTTTTCTATGTGGATGTCATTCTAAGACCCGCTGTTGGTAGGAATACCAGCGAGTCTCAAGGATTTTCAAACATCCGTCGCAATTTCATTTACTCCAAACACGACGTCCGTGAAATGTTATCAACTATTCTTGAATGCGAGCATCCATAGGCATACATGTATATGTTTCACCCACGTTTTAAACATTGCTCCTTTTTGTTCGATATTAAAGAAGTGCTGTGTTGTTTTACCAGTTCAGTGTTTGATGTATTAAGTTGTATATAAACGAGTTTTTACATAATATGACCGTAATCTAGATCTACCTGTAGATGTAAGAATTTGTATATAAGATTATCGTAAAATAGATGTTAACCTTCAGAGTTTATGTGAACTATACTTTCTACGTATGTGTACATAGAATTCTCTAAAGTATGTTGAAGTAAAAATGAAAGGCTGGAACCAGTCTTTGTTTTTAACTGAAAATGCATTGGTGCATACAATAAGCAGTGATCTTTAATGCATACATATTAGCCGACGTGAAAATAACCTCGTCTTAACTCAAGACGGAGACAAACGATCGATAGGTCAAATACTAAAATTCCGCACTCACTTCCATAAATCCAAGGTCATCTGAAGAACTAAACACACACACAAAAGATTGTCGCAAAGTTTGAAATTCATATTTTCAGTTTGACAATGAAGTCAACCAGTGTCTGATCACACAGGCAAAACACATATCAAAACAATTTAATCTATCAGACCAAAAACAGAACACCTTTTTAAGGTGGGACTGTACTCGAATAAGGCTGAAAATCACGTTTCTATAGAGAAAATCAACAGTAAGTCTTGAATGAAAAATCCCCGAACTCCTTTGTAGTACTTTGTTCAAGTGTTATAATACCATTCAAAGCATGTTTTTAGCTGTCTAGGTGCCTGAGAAAATCAGGAAACCGAAAATGATGTTTTTGCCCCCAAAATCCCAATATTACGTCACTGAACTTGGAGCTGTGTCTCAAGCATTATTACATGTTTTGAAAATACAATAAATGAATGCAAGAGGATAAAAGCTAAGGCCTTTAATTAAAAATAAAAACTCCAACCTGCAGTCCCACCTTAATCTCATGCATTTTTCGTGTGAATTGACCGTTTTAACTAACCATCTTCAAGCTTCATCCAAATAAAGTGAGTGTCGTGTTTTCCTTCCTTGGACACACTGAGTAAAGTCAATGGGACGTACCATCGATTCCTGAAAATGGATACCATGAGTAAAAAATTAAAAGACTCTTCAGCGTGATGATGAATATTTCATAATAAATAATTGTTTTCGTTGAACTCGTTTTAAAATGTGCCACCCTTCTAAACATTTTTATTTATATCATTCGTCTAGCTGGCCATGCCATCACTAGTCGCCATTTCATGTTTGAATTAAAAGGCGCTATTCATTTGTTATTTTCTTTCTTACTTCCCAGTTTCTGAGAGATTTGTGAGATAAAAGGTTATTAATTGAGTTGAGATTCAATTTAGCATTCGTTGTTTTTAAACTCTAACGTGGAGTCCGTGTGAAATCAAATTTGATGATTTATCAGTTGTTTTTCTTTGTCTGAAATCAAAATTAGTCGAGTCTAACAGCCACGGGAGAATTTTTTAATAAACATTAGCAAGACTTCCACTTTAAACAAAAAAAGCACTTTCATTTCTCATCGGAAGCAAACACTGTTTTGCTGATAAGTGACTTAAAGAACACAATTATCTTCATCTCAAACTTAAGCCTAGCACAAATCAAATAAATCGGTGCATTTACTGCATTCAAATGGGAGTTTGCCTGACTATTACCGGCATTATATTGCGGTTTAACTCCATCCCCAACATTTGGCAAATACTCAATAATACTGCTTGTCGACGGCACCTTATCCCGAGAGAAAATCATTTTGTTAATAAATCTGTACGATATATCATGAAGATGACATTCGACATTAAAATAAAAGCCCGTCAATAACAGGATTATTGGCAGTCGTCCAATGAGTCAATGAAAACGTTAGGCATTGGTTTGGAACTGAGTCAATGGCAACGCCACTGACAGCTATGCAAAGCCTATTGCCTACTAAAGATAGTACCATCGTCTTTTCCAAAAAAATTGCGCGTATTACAAATTGGTGGGATTTATGGGAGTTCATCGCCTCCAGTGCTATGGAATGTCTTCAGCGACATTAGCTAATCAAATAATGTTTCCCTTGTTTTCGGGCCTAATGCTTACTTCAGCATGTTTAGAATCACTAGAAATGCAACAAAGAGGTTTTCAAATATTCTAAACGATGGGAAACATCTTAAAGTAATGTTTTCATACTGTTTCATTTGATTACTTTGGTTTTTCTGGGGAAATGGAGAGCAACAACGGCTTCTTTTCTATAAAAAAATAGAGCGAAAAATGGCTGTCCACACATGTACCTCAAAGGGATCATGCATAAAATCGTGTTTGCCTACCCATTAAAACTAGGCTGTGCCGTGTAGTTGTTCAATGTAAACCTTTTTTGCTGAGCTCTCGCAATTCCACGTTCGTAGTCACGTGTTATCGTAACTACCGGATAGCCTTCCTGTTTCGTCCAGCTGCCCATTATTGTTTTGACGTCGACATCCTGACCGTCTCTTTTAGCTTGCTGGAATAAAATGAATAATTGGTAAATTGTAAAGCTTGGGATATTAAACACAAATATAAATTAAACCTTTCTGTAAAAAGGTTTTAGTGTTATTGCTTTACACCGCGGTCGTCTTATAGATTATTAGCCAATTCTAAATCCATTGGAGAATGATATAATTTGTTGCTCACAGTGCTAGGAATTTTCTGAGAAAAAGACATAAAATTCAGTTTTGAGCCGACATTAGCTTCAGCATGCTTTGACAGCACTTCCATATCGTTTACAAAATGAAAATTGTCTGGAGAGGGTTTTTCTGCCTATGTTGTATTCCCTCCTGAAATTGCCGCTATTCTTCTGGATTCATGGTACCATTATATTGTGTTTTTCCTGTTTTGGATGTATTGATTTTTTATCTGCGTCGGAACGTTCAATTCACAAATCGCTTTGACAATGGTGCCAATTAATTTTGCCTGGCAAAATAGTGCAGCAATGTTGGCTGGAAATGACATCACTCGCTCCCTGTTCTCAACACGACTTCCACCAGTATGCCCATACTACACCGTGCCTAAACGCCCGGAAATGAATTCTGACTCACTCTCACCCCTTTGAAAATTGGGAATTTGACAATATTCGATAGTCAAATCCACACATCAGTGATAACTTACTTTAGATATTGAAATTTTTCTTATGTTACATAAATATGTATTAGTGAGAGTTGGTCAAATAATGTTCTCCGCGAGCAGTCGCAAGCTGAGTGTATCAGCGCCACGTTCATAGATATCTTACAGGGTACAAGACATTCAGCTTTAGGAAGCCCCTCGAAAGCATTATTTAATGTGCGTTATCGTGATGAAGTTATGAAATATCAGAGCTTTTTTCAATATAAGAGAACCGAATAGAGCAAAACTTGTTATGATCCAGTAGGCGATAACTCCACCTGAAGGTGTAACCAGTAGAGATTCTATCGCCATCATTGCTTATAACTCGCTGAGAACGCCTTTAACTTGCTCGTGTATATTGCTGTTTTTGTTTTTATCAGCTGGTAGGGTAGGTGTGAAATTGGGTTACCCTAGCTACGAAGACCATTTTTGTTATTTCCTCACAGCTATGCATTTTTGTTATCTTCGATTTGCAATGCCCAGAGCGAACACCAATTATCTAAAAAGTAACATGGATAATGAGGCAAACTGTCTTTACTGTGGTATGGTAATGGCGTCTATCCTTACCGAGTGAAATCCCGAAAGTGCATCAATAAAGACGCTTTTTAATGAGTACTTTTTTCTTTCTCTATGAAATAGAATTAATAGTACATATATTATTGATTTCTTCTCTTAATTTGTTCGACTGTCTTTAAGGATTTCACATGGCCAATTACAAGAGGTTCTTCTCACTTTGATATCGAGTACTAAGGAAAGATCAAACAGTCAAAGTACAACAGCGAAAAAACAGCCCACTTTCCATGACTTCGGATTAAATGAATATCGGAACCTTATGTTTTAGCCATAGGCACGGCCGGAATGCAAGAAACTGCCACACTTTACGACAGTAAAAATGTTGGCAGGAAAAAAATGATGTAAGTTCATCTGATATACAGACGCTGAGGTGGAATATGTGACGAAATGCGCTCAAGGCTAGAAACACTGGGATAACTTTTAGTCAGGTTATTGCTTTTAAAGGCACCTTTCGCGGCATTTTGGCATATAGAAATGTAACGTGTTTTTCTGTCTTAATTTACCTCTTTCTAGAAATTAACGTTTTTTTGGAATATTTTTTAACTCCACCACACCAAGAATGAGTAATAGAGATTTTCCTCACTTTACTAGGGCGATGTTAGATGAGTTAATTATGTGTTCACTTCGCGCAAAAATACAATTTTGTTAATAGGACATTAGGTGAAATGCATAAAGACAAAGATGATGATAAATGCATTTTAGACACAAGGGCAGGTTATTCAAAAAGAAATAATAAATTCCTAGCTAAAAAATCACTAGAACAGATCCTTCAGCTTTTTGTAAATGTCCTTAGTCTCTCCAGTCTCTTAAGATAAGAAAACTTGGAATGATGATACCACAGCTTTCTCTGTAACTAAGATCTAACAACCGCGATTTTCAGGACAATTCATTTAAATTGAGATGCATGGAATGTTTAGAATACTTAGAATAAAACAAAACACACAAAATGTTAGAAGCATCCCAAGATAAAATGTAAAAAAATGTGATGTAAAAAAACGATTTGGACAAGAAAGAAAAATGCCCAATAAAATTGTCGTGTACAGACATTAGAATAAAGCCAAAAAACGATATTTCAGTTGGTGCGTGCCGAACTTGCACAGAATGTGTTAAGACGTGGCATTTTGACGTAATAAATAGCGCCCCAGATGAAGTAAGGCCAAGTGAAATTTAAAGGCTTCTTAAGACAGTGAAACTAAACACTATTGATCATTATGTCATTAGAAACATTGACTAGAGTCCAAATGCCGATTATGTTGGTGAAAATGGCATGTGATTAAGCCGTCAATTGCCCAATACGGCGCCGTGATGTCGAATGAAGTTTCTAAATTTTGGATGCTAGATAATGAATACAAACACCACATAGATTTTAATCATGAAAAGATTTTCTCGATGTCAGTTCCCGAAAATGAGAGCATTAGCGATGATGGCTTAACATTTATCTTCAAGAATAATCAGTGATTTTTAAGATGAGTATCGACGTCAGTTTAAATGGAATCCAATGCATTCACAGATTCCTGTCGTCGTTTTAAGATACAGTGACAACATCATAGACTCAAGGAAAAAGAAAAGACGGAGATTTCAATCTAGGGAACTGAAAATATGATACACCTAATGCGCCTAATCTGTCCTATCGATGGCTGGAAAGCCTGAAGTTTTACCATCTGCAAAAACAAAAGCATTTTCCTGAGAGACTAGATCGTCCGCTGCTAATTGATTGCATGGAGTATGATACGGACTCCAGAGATCTTTAATTTTTCCTTCTTGTTTTTTTGTGTGTGTGGATTGTACAAAACAATACTTCGCACCAGCATCGCATACAGACAGCTGTCTGTGTAGATCTCACGATTCGTTAACGCCCGCCACGCCCAACACTTGGACACAGTCCGGATTAATTCCTATATCGGGACACCAAATGCACTTATATAAAACTGGTCAATGATATTGTAAGCGCCATTCTAAAAATAAAGCTCCCCCCCCCCATTATACTCGAAACATGCGACATTTACACTGCGTCACCATGACTTTGCATTAATCATCACAAACATTATATATTACATCAATTCCGTAATACATTGCAGAAATGTTCTCATCTTCGCTAACCCTGTCCCTCTCAACATCTAATACAAATGGTGCTCTCTTTGATTTACTATAATGCATTTTATAAGACTAGCGTCATTCTGGCTCAGAGAATATAAACCTGTAGATGTATCATGGACAGTATGCATCAAACTTGCATTCCCCTTTTTTTTTCAGAGCTTTTACGTATTACTCTCTTGGTTGCCGTTCAGGCTAATGTAACTTGTTCAGCGTTCAGGTGTTTGAAATTGAAACTCCAAGTAACTCTAATGTCTATCTATCAGGCAAAAAATTAAATTGAGGTAGTTATGTTTATTTCTGCCTTAGATTAGTCTATTTGGCGCTGTATCAACGCAAAGGTCTTTTCAAGAGCGTCCTGGGGAGCAATTTCTGCCATCGATTCTAGTTTTTTATAAAACTCAATATAACTGTACGCACGTTTTTGATAATCATATAGCTCAAATAAGTTTTGGGTAAGCTTTGTAGATATTGCATTGAAACTGTGACTTCGGAACAAAGAAGTGAAATCTGATTTGTTAAATTAGAACGATTTTTATTGAAAATGGATATTTTCTCAATTCATCGTTTGATTTTCCTATTAATTACAGTTAAGTAATGACCGTTTTCTTAGCTATCATTGCCTGCCGACACGCCATTTTCCCATAGCTGTTAATTGGACTCTCTATCTCCGATGAGAGTTAGCCCTTATCCATCAACTTCATCTTAACCACATCTATAATTTAGCAGTTTTTTGTCAACTCACCAGCAGAACTATTGAACAATGTCTTTTAAAAAGCCCAAACGGTTCTATAACACTCGCTTTGCATGGTGCGTTACCATCTGCGTATCGTATAAAAGTACATGCAATTTACAGCAGTTGCAAGAAAAAAAAGGCACTGCATGCTTTTAAAATTCTGCCATAGCACATGGAGTCCCCACGGTAGATGACTGCTGTGTCTAACAGGAAGGTAAAATGTTACTACATTTGTTAAATCAAGGAAAGAATAAAACAATAAGGAATTGTGCCAACAGTCGCACAACGTCGTTTAAACAGTCAAATCGGTGCTGTAGTGTTAAGATATCGTAATGACGTCAAAGCAACCTCAGAAATGACGTATTTATACCTACTATATTACAGATTATCCCCAACCTGTGGCATGACACAATGTGCCCCATCTTCCACTCATGATACGTATATCAGGGATCTACCCAGCAAACAAACAAACAAACAAACAAAAATGTTATTATAACGTTGCCATAACGTTAATATAACTAACGTTATGGTAACGTTACAATAACGTTCTGTGTTTGTTGAGTAAACCGAGGGGGGAGGGATTTGCCTTGAGATTCTGGCGGGGTTGGACGGGAGGGGGGGATCTAAAAAAGTTAAAAGTGTTAGCTTTTCCGTTCTTCCAGTTTACCTTAAGTCTTTTTCTTTTACTTAATCAACATCTAGATAAATACTACAGACGGAGCAAATAACCTGTTTGGGAGTATTTTTGGCCTGCAACATGTACCCCACACTCTTTTCTCAACCTGCGGCTGTGGAATTGGTGTCATCTGGCATGCACCCCACCNAAAAAGTTTAAAGTGTTAGCTTTTCCGTTCTTCCAGTTCACCTTAAGTCTTTTTCTTTTACTTAATCAACATCTAGATAAATACTACAGACGGAGCAAATAACCTGTTTGGGAGTATTTTTGGCCTGCAACATGT